TGTTGATATGGCAGAGTCTGATTTGTGAGGATGTTTTGCTGAAATATAGGAGTGCTAAAAATGGTCATGGATGTTTATCAGATATGTCATCAAGTCTGCCGGCCGGCTGACTGTTGTCAAACGTAGATATGCATATATAATCTATATGCATATTTGTGTATATGCATAACAGTACAGTGGGCTTTACACTGCCAAACACACCCATGTTTATATGTATATATATAGATATAAACTAATGAAACTATAATGTATCTGCATATATATATATATATATATATATATATATATATATATATATATATATATAGATATAGATAGATAGAGAGAGAGAGAGAGAGAGAGAGAGAGAGAGAGAGAGAGATAGGTGAAGTAAGATCTTTATATACATCTTAACCCAATATGTTTAAAAGCAATTTTTCACAATTCCTAACTTTTAATTATGGTAAAGTTCCTGTCTTCCTCTCTTTATACTATTTTGGATAACAACCTTATTTTAAGAATGTGAAATGTCAGAATATTAGAGTCCATATGAGAGCTCAATGTATGATACAGAGTAAATTATAAAAATAATGAGGCAAAAACCTTAAAACTCCATAGTCAGTAATAAATTCATTTCGATGAATATAAACATATTCATCTCATCAGACTGACTACACTTTATGAAATGGAATCAAGATATCTCATACAGACAGATATACAAAGATAAAATTATAAAAAAAATAAAAAAAGATAAAACAATAGCAAAAATAAATTGACCTAGAAAAATTTTTTTTCATGGGGGTGGGGGCGGTGCTTACATTATGAAAAGAGAGAACAGAAAAAAAGAGTTAATATCTTCATTTAATTATGCTTGGTTGAAAAATCTAGACATATTATGTCTATTTATTTTAATTCTCTCAAATTCATGGATCAATATCTTAATCTTGTTATTAAATTCATTAATGAAGTTTCCATAGTTTTTTTTCATTTCTTTTATTTTTCCAAGTACTTTCAATCTTATAGAAGATCATCTTCAATAGTGAATTGCTAATGCAAAAAATTAATGTAATTGATTGTTGTGAAATTTTGTAAATACACATGAAACACACTCTGTTAATTCAAAAACTAAAATTATCTGAGGGATATATATTTATATTTGTAAATTATTTTTAAAATTATAATTTAAGTATTTTAAAACATTGCTGTTATAATTGTAATTTAAAAAATATTGCAGTTTTTTTTTTGTTTTTTTTTAAGCGTTTCACCCCAAGCAAGGCGGGAAGCCACTAGGATACAAGGGGTTACAGGAAATAGCAAGATCAGATAGGAGTGATAGAAGAAAGGATGAGGGTAGTGGATAGATCAAGGTAACTGGAGATGTCGATTGACATTACACTTGAATAGCTCACAGGGAAACAGGAGAAGGAAAGGGAGTTCCACAGGCGAGAGGTGTGAGACATGAAGCTATTAGAGTAGAAGAGACAGCTACATTTAGGAGTTTAGACAGTGAAGGGGTGAGAGCGGGATGCCAGCCTTGTAGGGCGCTGGAACTCATGACGTCTGGGAACCAGCGAATGCAGCTCCTTGGAGCAATTTCCATGAAAAGTATTTGTAGAACAGGCAGAGGGAGGCGAGTTAGTTGCCTGTGAGAAAGTGACTGTAGACGAGACGCCAGGGCAGTGCCAACCATATTGCATATCCACCTCTGGAGCCTATCAAGAACCCCAGGCAAAACAGAAGGGCGCCAGACCATATATGGCAGCAATACTCCATGCAAGGGCGAATTGTGGATTTGTATATCTGGAGGATCAACTCAATGGAGAAAAACTTCCTAGCGCTGCTCAGGGAGCCAACTTTCCTCGCAGTGGACGAAAATTGACTATGTATTTATTCCATCTCAGGTCAGCAGTCAACATGAGACCGTGAAGCCGCAGAGAGTTGCTCTTATAGTTGAGCGTCAGACATTCTAATGGAGGGAAGGGAATGCTCTCTGTGGTGATTAATAGAGAGCAGTTTTGTCTTTGAAGCGTTGAAGTTGACCAGCCAATTCATGCCCCAGTTCACAATCGATTGGAGGTCCTTTTCGAGACGCACAGCAAGGTGAGTTTTGTCAGCAGTTAAGGCATTTTAAAACCTTGCTGTTATAGATATTTTAAAACATTGTTGCCATACTCATAATTAATCTTATTTAGTGTTGGTTGTATTTTTCTTATATAGAGGGCTTCAAGAAGTTCAAGTGTTTGTTTTTATTTTCATGGTGAAGTATACTTGTATTGTTAATTAATAATTCTCTAAATTGTGAATATGGACAGGAATGTTCCTTTAAATGTTATAATATATATATATATATATATATATATATATATATATATATATATATATATATATATACCATATCTATGGGCACGCGGCTGAGTGGTTAGAACATTTGCATTCTGACCTTGAGACCCAGAATCGCACCATGGTCAATTTGTCAGGAAGGAGATTTCCTGATGTTATCTGACTTTTATATTTTATCCCTACAACCTCCTTTGTCAGATTTTTGGCTGAGATTTAAATCTGAGATTAAAACTTTATTTTCTTTAACTCTCAGCTTGCATTGGTCTGGATGTTTTGCATGGATTGTTGTCTTTTTTGTGTTTTTTTTTAATAATTTCACCCTAAGCAAGGAAATAAACCATTAAAATGTTTTACTGAGTATGAAAGAATATGAGCAAAAGAAAAACATTATTAAGGAGATTGTCCTTTTGGAAATTGGAATTGTGATCCAACTTGAATTTCCTGGTTGATTCCTCTATATTCTTCCTCTAGAAATACAGGTAAGAATAATATATAGCACACACTGTTTTCCCTTTTATGATGACAGCCTTTCACGGTCTGAAGAAAAACTCTATGTATTGAAATTCCACTCCCAGGTATGACAGTGGAGATGGTGTTTGCCAGATAATGAACTGCACCAAGCATTTTTAATTTCAGCCAAATTATTCCATTTTGATTTTATCTGACCAGATATCTTCTATCTCATGCCTGTCGAATCATAATAAGATGATTTTTACAAAAGACTCTTTCAGCTAGATATATTTATTTTTGACTTATGTTTTCTTTAGAACCATCCTGTCTTTTAAGCCAGTTTGGTGCAGTGTTATGAAAATTGTACAAGTGTTTAAATTTAACTTCAATTTCAGTCACTGAAGTCTGCATCTCTTTCAGAGTTACACATGGTTAGGCAACAGAATCTAAATCAACTTTTGATTCTGTAAACAATAATACAATAGAACAATTATATTCAGATAGCAACATTGTATTTCGTCAAGTTTCAAACAGTTTATATTGAACTCAAAGATAAACTAAATATGTTGACAACTTTTTCTCTGTATTTTTTAAGTTTTTGATCATTCTTTTTATATTAGAGTGTACAAAAATTGCTATTTATATAAATTTTTACTCCAAAGTCTATTTTATGTACATGTGTAAAGACTATATCTCCACTACATTATTATTATTATTGCCATTATTAATATTATTATTTTGGTGTTATAAATTGATGTAGTCACTGGAAATTCTGTTTTTGTGGCATCCTTTTAACATGATTCCTCACCATTCAAGATATTTTCAGAGAATTCTCATAGAGTAAATGATGCTAGTTTTCTGGAGGTTCATAATTTTGGCTTCATTTACAATTTTCAGTAAGTGGTCTTTCAATTTTCTTGTTGGTATTCCAAACAATCCATGGTTTATGGCTACATCATGTTGAAACACCAATTCCCATATGTTCACCAGTGTTAAGCAATGTTGAACCTGGTCATAACCTAGACGGGTGACCATTTGGGCATACCCAGTACTGTAAGCTTCAATGTGTCGATGGTTTAATGGATAATGGCTTAGAATTGTTAATTGGAAAGCCGAGTTCCAATTCCCATTGGGTTTGTTATATTCACTTACACACAGATACCCTTGTGAAATGTATGAATCCACCTCTACCTCCCAGCTTTGAGTTAATTAGTAAGATTTTTATCACTAAAACATTTTATTATATAAAAAATAAATAAATAAAATTGTGTACAAAATATTTAAATTTCTGCATTAGACTTTGATATGCCACTAAACAAAATCAGCCAACCACCAATCAACAAACACACACATTACTTCAACACTCATGTTCCATAGCTTTTGCAACTCCCTAGCAAGATCCTGGTGTTTTTCAATCTTTTCAGTTTCACTTGCTACCCTCCATGTCTATAACAATGAGGTTGGGTCATCATGCATCATTAACATAATCTGTCTAGAATAAGAAATCTTATATTATTATTATTATTATTATATATGATGCTGGTTGCTGTTAAAATTTATTTTCAGGTCATGACTTAAGAAAAAGTAAATTGATCATTTCTTCTTTTCACCGACAGGCTTGATCCAATGCTTTCTGAAGTATCCTCAATATTCTGAGCAGGCTAGCATTTTATAATGTCTCTATTTCCAAATCACAATCCAATATCTACAAGAATTTTCCTATATTTTTTGTACAACACTTCAGTGCTCCAATGATCAGTGGTACTATAATGAATTACTTTGCTAGTCCTTTCCAAACTTTAAAAATGTCATACTTTAAATCATTTTAGTTGTTGATTTTATTTTCTTCATGCACAATTCCCATGTTAAATGGCCAGGGGATTTCTATCAGATACCAAATCCTTTTCTGTTTTTCCAGAATTATTAGGTTGCAACACTTTTTTTCTGTTTTTCAAGAATTATTACTATTATTGATGGATTGACTCATTTGTTTTTATAGCTTAACCTTTTGTAGGTTATTTAAAGCCAGAAAATATTCTTAGATTGTAAGAATTTTTGTAGACAATAATGATTTACTGATACACATACTACTATTTAACCCAGAGCTGTAGGGAGAAGAGGTGGATTCATGCCTTTCTCACAAGAATTTTCATTTGACTTCGACTGGAATTGGAATGTAGCTTTCCAATTTCCATAGATGATATCCATTACATCACCAACACATCCAAGCTTATAGCACCGGATATTCCCAAGTCGTCACCCATCTAGTTACTGACCAGGCACAATGTTGTTTAACTTTGGTGATCCGCTGAGAAATAGTGTTTCAATGTGATATAGCTGTAAGCCCTATTATTATTATTATTATTAGTGCTATTCAGTTGCATATTTTCCTGTAGATATTATAATTGCAGATCTGATGTTTGAGATTCTGGCATTTTTAATAGGCATTACTTTAAAGTGAACCTCAAAGTTTCTGAAGCTGCTTACAGAATTCTGGAAATGGAAGGAAATGAAACAATATCTGAGCATATTGCTTAATTATTTTAAATGTAGTGTCTTGTCCTTTGAAATGAATCCCACAATTGGATGACTATTAGTTGTTGATAATGAAGCTTTAAAATGGAAGGTAGAAGTAAACGCAATAATCAACACTTGAAAGCATTCAGAAGAGAAAGGATCATCGGAGGAAGAGTATTACATGTGCATCAAATAACATAAAGTTCTTTTAAAAATGGAAATACTTTCAATACAATCAAATAATACAATTTCTGATTGACTGAGTTTGCAGATTATTTAAAGCCAGAAAATATTATTTTAGATTCTAAGAATTTTTAAGATAATAATGTTTTACTGATACAAGTCATACTAATTAATTGATAGCTAGAGGGAGAAGAGTTTGTAGAGGGTGATGCTACATATATTTATCTATGGCTAGGAAAGGTGTGATTAAGGAAAGCAAAGATGCTGGAAGTTACTATCCAATGTGGCATGCACAATGCGATTTATATTTGACATAAAATAGCACATAGTATAAAATACAAAACAGAATGTAATGATTCAAAACATAATTGAATTTATTAGTGTTTGGTGTACATGCATATAAGCTGAAGGTTTGATAGAGTTATGTCTCTTAGATTTGGAAATATTTGTACCTGAACTCATAAAGATGAAGTAATTATTAAACTGTAGTTTAGAAGAATAAAGTTCCTTTAGCATGTAAGGAATTGTGTATTGGATAAAGTTGGTAAGAGTTCAGAAGAGTTAAGAGTTGTACTTGCGTGGATGTAGTAATGTTCTTTAATGTCTGACTGCATGGTCAAGATGGGAGTTCTTGAAATTTACATTTTGGCAGCAAGGATTGAGATGCAAGAGAGACTGAAGAGAACACGAGGGAGCTTATTCGTGTTTTGTTTATATATGGCTGTGTATCACGTGGTAGGCTCAGAAGCTTGTGCGCAGGAAAATTGTTCCTCACGTGCTGGCGATTTGATTGGTCGGAATTGACCAATCAGCAAGCTAGTTTTGTGGAGATCAACCAATGAATGCTTGTTGCATGATTTCTATGTACTGTGTGTATGTAATGGTGGTGGTAGTTACCACAAGGTTTCCCAAGGGTATTTGGGTATAAGTGAATGTGATGAACCTGAATGAAAATCAGAGTCAATTTCCCATTCTATGCTGTTATCTATTAACACCACTTGCACAACACAAGCTTACAGAACCTGGTATTCCCAAGTGATCAACCATCTAGATACTGACCAGGTTCTATCTTGCTTAACTTCGGTGATTGTACAAGAACCATTGTTTCAAAATATGATTTCTGACTTGTAAATCTAATTCTAGCTACTTTGTCACAAGCATCACAAATAAGAGTGAAATCAACTGAAAGAAATGTTCATATTTATTTCTAAACACAAAACACACTTTACCTGGATAATTTGGCATTGCACAGGTGAGTGAATATAATGAAACTGGAAATCATAGAGCAAATTCTATGCCATTATCCATTATACCACCTGCACATCTAAACTTACAGCACCTGATATTCCCAAGTGATCACCCATCTAGATACTGGCCAGGCTTGATGCTGCTTAACTTTGGTGAATGTACAAAAACTGGTGTTTCAATGTGATATATTGATGAGCACTTTATACTGCACACACATCTAAGCTTACAGCAGCTGGTATTCTCAAGCATTCACCCATCTATATACAGACCAAACTTATATTACTTAACTTTGGTAACTGTATGAGAACTGGTGTTTCAAAATATGATCTCTGACTTGTAAATCTAATTCTAGCTACTTTGTCACAAGTATCACAAATAAGAGTGAAAGCAACTGACAGAGATGTACATATTTATTTCAAAACACAAAACAGACTTTACCTGAACAATTTGGCACTCCAGAGGTCAAAACACTTAAACAAAAGACTAGAGACCATATATGTTGTCTGAAATGGAAGGAACATAGACATTTGCAAAGCCATTTTTCTGAAAAAGTAATGTCTAAAAATAAACTTTATCTTGTACTCAGGATTTATTGTATCATTGTTAGAAAGTTCTAGATACCAAGTATTTCTTGATGCAAAACTTTACACATGTTAGAAAGAGTTGTAAATATTGTAAATGCAATTTAGTAAAGATTCCCTCAAGGAGATATAGATATTTGCAATCCATTTGAATTTGGTGCAAACAACTATCTATCTATATATATATATATATATATATATATATATATATAATATTAGTGGTCAATATATATATATATATATATATATATATATATATATATATATGTTTATATACATAAATTCTCAAGAGGATAGAATCCAGGTAGAACTGAATGTCCAGGACAGAGTAAGAATATAATATAAAAGGCTCAAACATTAATATTCCATGGTTATAATTTATTACATTGGAACTGTAATCACGATCTAAATCATCAGACCTACAAATTCAAAAAGAAATCGCTTTTTGAATTTGTAGGTTTGATGACTTGGGTTGTGATTACAATTCCAATGTAATAAATTATAACCATGGAATATTAGTGCTTGAGCCTTTATATATATATATATATATATATATATATATATATATATATATATATATATATGAATGAAGAAATATAGTTTTAAGGTGTGCTATATTTATGGGATAAAGTGCTCAATATCAGAGATAGAGTATATGTAACTATAAATATAAAAAGTGAACATGGAAGTCAACACTCAGAGGTGACAGACTGTTTCATGCTAGATGCAACTGTTGGGCCGCAATCGTTGAGCCGCAATTGTGCAGCCTAATGATTGCGTCTAACATATAACAGCTTGTTGGCTTCAATGTTCACTTTTATATATATATATATATATATATATATATATATATATGTGTGTGTGTGTTAGGAATTTATCAGACTAAAGTGATGTTTACATTGATATGACTGCACATGTGTTCAAAGGATAGGAGATGCTGAATGTTTTTAATTTAAAATAAAAGCAAATATAAAAAGAGTATTTTAAGTTTAAAATTTTCAGTGTACCCTTTCTTTCATGTGTATTTGTAGTCACATCAACTTAAAGGCTGAAATACCTCACATGAAAACCTTTCTCACTTTGACATAGAATCCTCTAAACTTATTCTTGATATATAAAAATTTTGATATGTATATATATATATATATATATATGTGTGTGTGTGTGTGTGTGTGTGTGTGTGTGTATTTCAAACAGGTTTGGTTAAATAATTTAAACATATCATGTTGATTAGTTTTGTTGTGATTTTTTCAAGTATGTATATATTTATAAATGCTCCCATTTAAAACAACACAAACATCTATATATACAAATATCTTTCTATATAATGTATGTATATGCATACAAATATCTATATATACAGATATCTATATATATAACTTTATATGGAGGAGAATTACACTGTCATCTCTATATAGTCCAGGATCCTTAATGCTGAACATGAATCTAAGTCGCCAAAACAACAGAATTCCAACAATATTACAGGCTTTTGCTGAGTCATATGCACCCATAGCAACATTAAATTCTGGAATATTTTCCTTGGTCCCCATACAATCATTGTGGAATAGTATAGGTATTTGTGCCTGTTTTATAATATTCATTTCCCAATTGCTAATAGGACAGTAATTCTTAGCTAGCTTTATAGCCACCTCAGTGGTGGATGGGTAAAAGTCATAAATATTAAATTCTTCTTTTTTATGTTATTAAACCATTCTATGGATTCTGCTGTTTTTTGCCACTGGTTGATTCCTAGAGCATTTTTGGTGTAATTGCATGTCCTTTCAAGGATGCTTTTGCTGATTTTACCAATATTAGTTTTTGTTGTAATCGTTATTGAGGATTGTTTAGAAAATTAACCTTATGGTCTTTAACTGTAATGAATGCTTGTTGTTTGTGTAATTTGTAGATTCTATCACTGATTAGAGAGAGAAACAAAGAAAGAAAAAGTGAATTAACATGAATTATATTTATTTACGTGTAATGCAAGAAATTTTGTATCAGGATCAAAAGCTAAAATTTCAATAGATGGCATTTAAACGTCTGTTTTCATTTCACATATGACTGAGATTTATGAAATGTGTACATTTTCTGGAAGGTGTTAATTCAATGTGTTTTTCTATATGATTCGTGCATGGATTGTGAATTTTATGTGTATTTATGCTAAAATTGAAAAAGGGAAGAAAATGAGATGCATTTTCATTATTTGATGCTCTTTTATTTCTGGAAAGGAAAAACTGATGTACACAACAGAAGCAAGCTATAATTGAACTCAGCTTGCCAAATTCACTTTCTACACCCATATCCATTGCACTAACAATGCCTTCTTAGAATTAGTAGTAAAATGACAGTGTTTGCTAAATGTTAAATTCTTGTTGCAAGGAGCAGTGTGTCAAAATTCTCATGTTTCTGTTTTGTTCACTTTGAACTAACATGTTTGGAAGAGGCATAAGTCTATCTTCTTCCAGCTATGGGTTAAATAGCAGAGCAGATTGGCTCTTGGCTTGGTTGGTAGCCAGTCTAGGAGAAGTTCTGAATTAAAAACCCAGCCTGAAGATGGATGGGCTCTGTTAGGTTATCTTGCCCAAGATGCACCACTACTGCTATAGCTGCCATACATGTAGTGCTGCAACAACTCTGAGGGGTTAAAGCAGCAGGCTCCAACCTTTTCTGCCCCATGAACCAGTGTCATGCAAGGCAATTTTTCCATGAATGGAGGTTGGGGGTTGTGTCGGTTTCACACATAACAAAACATTATAAACAAGACCATGATAGTCAATATAATGGAAAAAGAATGTATTTATACTTTCTGTG